GCTTTTCAACTGCCATTTGTTACTAGTGGTTCTAAATGTGTTGCAGTGGAATCAAGATTTAGGTTCCTTCTCTTCTGGGGCAACTTCTTTGTGGTAATAGAAATGCGATCTGATCCTCTTGGTTGAGGATCCCAGGCGAAATAGGTACAAATTTTGAACCTTTCGTCAAGCAGCTCATAGGGTTTGTCCCAGTCTTCTTTAAACAGTTTGTCACGTTTGGATAAAATTTCGTGTTAAATGTTCTCATAAAATACAGCTGGACCTCTCTCTACTTCTTGGTCGATGGCATAAATTCTTTTCTTTCTTTCGAATGACCACGGAGGTCCTCGTACGAACGATCTCGAGTCGCGGGGCTACGCGCTGGCTTCCTAGGTTGAGGATAGCAGGTTAATTGCGGACCAAAAGCGACCGCATACTTCCTTGAGACGCAGGTGGATCCAGGAAATGGGTTCCCTGTTTCTGCTACGCCGATTTGGCACATACTTTCTGTATTTGTTAGGCCTATTCATGCTTGCGTGTGTGTGCGTTCTCACTTATGCGGGTTGTATTCTACAAATCAATTCGGCCAAAAGGCTGCGATCAAGTGACTGGGAAGTATATGAGAGGCGGGTAGGAGCCTCCTCTAACAAATAAGCTCCTTGTCCACTCTGGGAGAGCCTGGCAAGCTACCCGTGAGTACACCCAGCCCCAACGTTCAGAGTCTAGCAAGCTATACGTGCTTACCAAAATGCTAAACACAGTAAAAGAAGTAGGCCTCATTCCCCATTCCATTCCGAAAGAGTCCCCAATTCGGTAGCGTTGAGTAGGAACAGCAAGGAGCGGCTGCCAAAATCTCAGGACCAACGGAAGCTGCCTGGATTGCAAAGAACTAAGCTGACGATCTTTACGTATAATTCAAGTACGCTTGCATCCTAGTCCTCGATAGAAGACTTGCTCATGCGAACAAGAATAATTAGATAAGACGTCATCGGCCTGACCAAGGCTAGGCGAGGCCACCCATGCAAGGCTGCCTATGATACCGAAAAAGAACTGTTCGTCGGAACATGCGACAGTAGAGTCGGCGGCATCGCCATTTTCGTCAACATGAGTTTGTCCATGAACATCGATTCATTCGTGCAACTAACAACCTAAGTAGGACTTTTACCATTAAAAAATGTGGATCAATATCGGCTTCGATATTCTTCGTCGTTTACGCGCTAAAATCAAATTATGACGAAGCGTTCTACATGGACTTGGAGAAGTTCTATAGAAGATTTCAACATTAAGACTGAACCAAGAAGATCGTCTGAAAAACTTCACATTGTGATCCGCGGATTAAAATGGAACGAACGGGGTGAGCGGTTCTCTAAGTTCATCATGACGACCAAGACAATCTATGGTAACTCGTAGTTCCAGAAGCCCCACCCTCAGCGCTGGACGTGGGAATCTCCCGGTGGAGAGTACCCTAACGAAATAGACCACATCACAGTAAACCGATGGTTTTGCCTAACCGGTCACGCTGCTGTTTTAAAATCTACACCGGATCAGACCATCGCCTCCTTCGTGCAGGATTCTATTTCTCGCAGAAGGGATAAAAAACCAATAAGGCAAAAGACGAGGTGTCAAAACTACTTAAAATTGGAACTAATTCAACTGTTAGTCGGCTGTTGGAAAGATGTAGTTGTCGATAACAACGACGAGGTATACGATCGGCTCATTCAATATCTTCACGTTAGCGCTGAGGGTTCCAAGTCACCAAGAGACGTCTGTCTCCAGAAACACTCAAGCTGATACGGTAGCGTGGAAGCGCACTAGCTGCAGGCAACCGCGAAGTTCTATAGAAGATCTCAGGACCAACGGAACGTCCGAATTTGCAAAGCAATGCAGACAAGTGATAAAAGAAGATTTTTAAGAAAGAAGAGTAGCAGTCATAGTCGAAGCTGCAGAAGCTGGCAAAAGCATTTGCAAAGCCCACCGAAGCTTTACCAATTACAAGACCAAAATGACTGCACTCCGGCGCCCAGGCGGAACAGTTACAGCGTCCAAAAAGGCAATGGAGGAAATTATTCACGAATACTACTCTGATCTCTTCGATAGCCATGTCCACCTTCTGTCATATAAAATAAAGAAGGATGGATATGTTGGACCACCAGTTCTCGGTTCCGGAATCCAACATGCGAGTTTTCGAAAAGGATTTATTACGATGGACCACATCCACATGACAACACGGCTCATTGAAGAATTGCAATAGTACAAAAGACAGCTCTGTCTCACATCCAGAATTTAAGGAAGGTTTTTGACTCAAATCAGATAGACACAGTCATGGTAGCTCATGGTAGTCAAGGAGTCCCTGCTCAGAACATAAAGATTTTTCGTGAGCTGTACAAGAATTTCTCGGCCAAAATATCACAATTCTACGACGATATTAACATTCGCGTCAAAAGAGGGGTTAGACAAGGCGACACCATCTCGCTAAAATTATTCACCGTCACTCTCGAGAACGTCGTACGAACATTGGAATGGGATAATATGGGAGTGAAAACCGATCGTCCGCAGTTGCAGCATCTTCGCTTTGCAGATGACATCGTCCTTATAACACCAAACATTAGCCAAGCGAAACGAATGCTTTCCGACTTTCATAAATCCTGTGGAAAGAATGCTCTTCGACTAAATCTCACTAAAACGTTGTTTATGGGGAACGGATTGGTTTCTTATGCTGCATTCACGCTCAACGGAACCAATATCTCCGAATGCTCCAGTTATGTTCATCCAGGTCGGGGAATGAACAAGATGAGCGACTCAGCTCCAAAGTTGAGCAGAAAGAAACGAGTGGCTTGGATAGCATTCAAGAGCACTGAGGATGTAGTGAGGAAAACAAAGAACACCCGACTTTGTGCCCATCTTTTCGACTTAACGATATTTCCTCCGTTGACGTATCCGTCAGGAACCTGGTCGCGGCGTAAACAGGATGAAAAATCACTTTGAGCTATTGGCGCATTCGAGAGGACGTTGCTAGGAGTATACCGTGGCACACAAGTAAGAGAAGGGATCCGAAGCTTCGACCTGCGTTAACGATCAAAAATCAAGGATGCCGTTCTTCACGCGAAACAGTCGAAGATAAGGTAGGCCGGATAAGTAATGCGTATGAACGACAACCGATGGACAGGAGGCGCTGATGACTAGATTCTGCAGGATGTTAAAAGAACTGCAGGAGGACCATCGAACCAGTGGTCAGAGTTCTTCACGAAAAGCGTAGAAGGAAAATATGATGCTTAAGGAGTTCCTAAAGCGAGAAGAACCCACTGGGCTACTCTTGCACGTGACCGAGAAAAGTGAAAGATTTACTGGCTCTCGCTCGAGTCACTCGACGATCAACGGGACTGCGGGAGTACAAGTGACTTTCGAATGAATCAAATCTTGGGGCGAAGAAGGCGTTGATCAAAACTTGCACAGAATTATGGAACTACCGACTTGTGTAGCAGGCACCATCTTCTCTTTGTCAGAATATGGTTGACTTCTGCATGAGTCATGCCTTTAGGATACTCCCATGTCCAGAATCAGCTTTCTTTAGTCTGGAGATGAAAAAAAATTTAGTATCAAAGGATGAGACCCCTTGCGGACAAGAGTCTTTTCAGACGATTTTCATTCTCATTTTTGGTCACGTTGGCTTTTCTCATTCTGGCGTTGAATTCACCGATAAAAAATTAAAGATATCACTTATCGCTGCGGATAAATCCTTCCAACTTGACATTTACCTACTTGAAGCTTGAATAGGCCGTCCTCACTGATTGTGCGGGCCCCAGCATAATCTTCCTTCTTCGGAGATTTCCTGGTTAAGCCATTGTGGTTTCCTCTAGTCCCAAGGTCAACCTGGCCAAAGTCTGCCTCAGATCGTCACTACTATACGAAGTCGCCGCCATTTTGGATTAGAGGGAGTTTTGCCGCCATGCGACTAGTTTGGTATCAGGGTGGTGGTGAATTCTGGTATTGCTTTACTCTTAGCTGGACTTTATGATAGAAACGTTTGACTCCTTTTCAGCCTGTGAGACTCTGCTAGTGTGATGAATCCCTCCTTTGCACTTCGCTGCCCGACACTCGGAAACATCTCGCAGCCACGATGAGGCGCTAAAGCGTTAGGAGGAATGAATCATTAAGCCGCTTAAAAACATTTTGGAGTAGATGGTACTTGGTCCACCTTTTCAGTTTCCGAGAAAGTATAAGAAAAAAACCGCAGCAGGAAAGAAGGTTTGCTAGTAATGTTGCTTATACAGAAAGTTTATGAGAAAGGGATGCATTAGTTTTCATATATGAGGTGATACAAAAGGTGCGACCAGGATCCAAGCGAGTGGGTGGCGTGAGGCTACCCACACTCGAAAGTGGCCATCGGCGGGATGTTGCTTTGTCTAGTGGTTATGAAGAGCTACCGATTTACAGCGAGCATATGGGCCTCGCGTCAAGGAATTTTATGTAGAAAGTTAGTAATGAAATTGATTTTATTCTGCACTGCGTAGAGAATAGTCTCTTTACAGCCATTAATTTGGTGCCTTGAAAAACTGGGTTTTTTAGGAACAGGATGTGCTAAACTTGTCTGAGAGGATGAAACACTTATTCAATAGGTTGGCAAAAGACGAAAGTCGATCCATAGGTCACATATAATTTCAATCAACTCTACGATTTCTGATGAAATCGACTCCATGACGCGTCTCCTAGGGATTAATAAATCGCCAGGGCTCTTCTATTTTTATCATTCTTCACATTATCCTAACATGTGAATACGTCCTATAACTGTTATTCAAGTCAAATATTTGTTCAACCAGACGTATAATGGAATCGAACGCATAGTATATCTCTCAGAGATTTATCTACGCCAAGAAGTCCTCAACCTTCACTTCTATGCTTGCTGAACCCAGGATTTGCACTCTACTCTACACTTTGGCAATTATGCCGAGGTCCATTGGATACTAGTGTGCACCTTCCCATCTCGACAAACACGTCAACCAGATAACTTCTGTTTCTATGATTTATCCCCAATTACAGAATATTGTGAAAACGGTAGATGTGATCATCACCTCAGCACGCAAGAGCGTGATGCGCTTAGCCAACTCCTTCCAAGCCGCCTGATCTGCTGCCATATGCTTCTTCATTGCCCACATGTAATTGTTTGCCGTTTCAAGAATGTTGCCCAAATTTGACATATAAACCTCCTAGAGGACACCTATATATCAGGAAACATAAATAGGATAAAGCGGCTGTATAAAAATCACCGAGCATTCCTTATTTTCTGTTTCTGCAATGACCAGCTGAATTTGAGTGTTGTCGGCTCCCAGAGAACAACCGCTATCCGTCCTTTCGGAGTTTTGTTCGCTTTTCCCCGACTCTTCCATCTGAAACGCATCTCTTCAATGCTAAAATTTCTTGAAAAAAAATCAATACGTCTTGAGGCTTTGTAAGTTATACCGGCTTTTCATTAGCTAATTGTTTGTTGGCAGATTCCTTTTCGGCTGCGCTTTCATCATTTTTCCTCTGAAATTGAAAACTTATAAAAAATGAAACGTGCTATTGTTAATCCACTCACATCGGACTCTAAGTGTTAGAAAATGATAATTCCTTTAAGGCTCCTTTTCCTTCTCTCATCAGAAATTAGTCTGATGCTCTCCTTTAAAGGAGAGAACTACACTTCTACCCAAAGCCATTTTATTTACATATCAAATATGTCCGTCCTTAGTTTCTTTCTCACATTCACGTAGTACGCTTTTTATCGAGTTTATTTCATTCTGCCTCGTATTGACACTATAGGATCCATAATGAGTTTATTGGGTTTTGAAGGTTTTTTGAACCCTATTTGATAGCTAATCGAGAGCAGTTCAAAAAAAGTGCGGTGAGGCCAGAAAAGCCGCTTTTTTCACTTAGCGATTGACAAAGAACTCCTTTTGGAAAAAGTTCATCGACCATTAATCTCACTACCAATGAACTGTTATTTTTTTTCCTATGACAAATCATAGCTATTTAGTAATTTGTAAGATCTCGAAATGAACTTCAAATTCAGACCGCAGTTTAATTGTGTAATGAACAGCAGTAACATATAGCAGTATCACGTATCAACCATAATCACTATGCGGTACAGTAGGGCTCTTGTATAATTCAGTTCTGTTCAGAACCCTTCAAATTCTCTTTTTTCTGAGCGGAATTTTTTTTGTTGTCGAAATACCGAAGTGTCACCACGCGATGAAAAATTGGGCGGTGCAGACCGTTGGACAAGCAGTGAAATAAGGTAGCTGGTGTAAAATGGGTTAAAGTACTATTAGAGACATATAACGTCGTTTTCCTGTTACTTCGGCATTTTTTTCAGTATGAAATAGGCGGTTACTTTTTTCGCCATTACTACATTACCCAGCCGTTGTTGTGATGTTTAGTAAGTTTCTATCTGGTGAAGTAAATTGTAAATTTTTTATTCTTCTGTTTTTTTGCTTCTCCGCTTTGTTGCCATGTTGCAAGTTTTCAGCATTTATATGATTCTATATGATTAATTAACGGCAATGAGATAAGAAGAGAAGCTCTCAAGGATGCCATGAAATACACTCATGGCAGCTGGTTCGATTCCTCTTCGGAATTAGTAACATTCCTGTCCTTCCGAAGTAGGCAAATTGGTGCTACAAATGCACGAAAAAACCTCCTGCGATTCTCATAAGCGAAGCCACATGGAGGTTGAGCCGCCTACGTGCGTGAATACTTTCTTGTGCTAAACTGCTTATGTAGCCCAGCCAAGTTCCATCAAAATAAAAGGAATAAATACACGAGAGGGGACGCCTACTGTCGAAAAATAATGTAATCTTTTAAGTGTTTAAGATTTTTGAACGGCTTCCATATCTTCCACCTGATTGTACCCGGGGTATATGGAGCACAGCACAGCTCAGCAAGCGATAGACGTCAGAGGTGATCTGATAGTTGCTAGTATAGTGATGACAGTGTTTTCAGTGGTATTATCCTTCTTCGTATCATATTTTTATGCAAGTGTACCTCAGTTGAACCCAAACTGCGGATAAAGCGGCGTAGACTGAAACTCCCACTATGATTGCTTAGAATAGTTGTGAGAAAAAGTCCCGTTTGAAGAAATTGATGAAACAATCCTGAGCTACCTTCAAGAAAAAGTTTTTTGGAGAAATTGAATGGAAAACTTACCTTTCCACAGAATGTAAAATTTAAAACCGTGGCAGCTGTCACATTTACCAAACAAAGAACGAAGGCTATCAATTTTATCCACATTTCGAACTGCAATGCAATTTTTGGCGAATCCTCGATATGTTCTCTGTCCTACCAATCTTCTTCCTTTATTTCTGCAAACTTCTTCTTTTTTCCTCTTTGTGATGAAATTCAAGCAGAATTTTTGCATTTTTATTTTCCTTCTTTTCTATTCAGCCAACGTCTTAACCAAGTACGTAGCACAGTTTGTAACACCGCCAAACCTCGTAGACCGCAACATTCATTTGTAGTATGCAGAAATTAGTTTCGATTTCATCATTTAGGATTTCGACGCTCTGTTTTTAAGTAGTCTTTTATGCGTTTGCTCCTATAATATCTTCTGTCCTACCAATTCTGAAGTATTCTAAAAAACAACTTCCACTCTGCGCTTGAGAAGGTTTCCTTTCTAAGTTTTGTTTAATCTGTGCGAGTGAAATAGAGAATTGAAACAAATTCAAGCACTTTTTGTGTGACATAACATCGTGGAAGGTATCCCAATATCAACGTTGCCTTGTGTCAGAAAAGCGCCAACGTGCGTACGAGATGAGAACCGTAACGGTCACGAAGTCCAGCAGCTCTTCGCGGTGATCACCTGAGGACACCATTTTAAATGGAGCCATGCGCAGCGTAACCCACTTGCAAATGTAAAGACTTTCGTGGATGATGAATGTGAAGAACGAATCGAATGTAGTGCTGGATTTCGCAAATTGTGTGATGCCGACCAGTACAAAGAATTATCCACCTTTTGCTTTTAAAAAGTTAAAGATAGAGGCTCATACACTCATTCATAATATTATCTTGCGGTGCGTGTGGAGAATTCAACCAAAAAATACGGTAACGAGATGCATAGGCCAGATGAAATTTCTAGATCTGTGCCGCATATCAAGAAGATTCAGAATTGGCAAGCTTTTTGCAGTAGCTTGAAGCAGATCCTGCTAGAGAGCAAAATTCACAAGTTTGTTAAAAATACGAAAATGCAGCTTGGAATAATCTCCGTACCTTCCATATGCCCCACTCCTATGAAATGGACCACTCTGAGAGATTGGTCAAATTTTTTGCACTTGTTTTTAAGCTCATATCACAGTGTTGAGTAGTGTTTTCTTTTATTCTTGCGTTATCTCTGTCACGACATGTTCGCCTTATTACGACGTGGCCTTCTAGAAGAATGTTAACCACGGGACGAAAACAACTAAGTAGTTATTTTCAAAGGCACGTCGAGAACTTAAGAGGCTTTCTCACATGGCATGCGTTATGAAGTCTTGAGTCACGGCATTCGTGTAAATGTAGACAATGTTCATGCATAGGTGTTGTAATGTGTTGGGTGTGTGCGCGCTGTATCCACGTCAAATCGATTATTCTAAAATACTTCGGTTTAGTTGTAAGCCAAAAATGAACTCCTACTATCAACCATGAGAAAGAAAACAAATCGTGCCTAGCGCAAAGAGCGCAGAAAAAACCGCTAAAAATAGGTCAACGTAAGCCGAAAGTCACTGGATTGGAGTACTGGAGCCGGGTTACGGCAGCCGCGGCAACGAACTCGACTGCTCTAAAAAAGTATCTTTTTCCCTTATCTCTGTTAAAAAAAGATTATCGGAGTTGGGCCGCACTCCCTCTCGTGGGGCGGGTGGGGTGGTGGGCTTGTTGGCGCTCAAGGAAATCGCTCAAAACGACTTTTAAGCCGGAAAAATAGGCAGGAATTTTTTCCAACGACCCTTATTACAGCGTTAGATTTCTGTATGCATCCTTTTATCATAATCACACAGTTTCGCCTAGCTAGTAGAATGTTAAGGTTTACACACCGCTCCACACATATCAAATCAACACTCGATTCGAAGTGAGGTACCTCTCATTTTACATCCCTACGTCTGTTGACCTGCGCGTAAATGGATAAAAGTGTTGATCGATGTGAAACTACCTCGAGGAGTGGGTTCGACGAGAGGTTTGACTTTTATTAAGCAAAATTTAAATGCAGCATATGCGCTGATGAAATCGTAAAAATGTTTTCATGGAGATTTTAAGAAAAAAAGTGGTGTACAACGAAGAGAACTCTCCTTCGCACTTCAGACAAGTTGCTTATTACCTCAAACACTTGCGCGAGTGTAGAGATTATAGGTAGGGTTTAAACAACCACCTTGTTGGGGTTTTGTTGGCGCAGTGCTATAGTGAGGTGAGGAATCCGTTACTACAGGGCTTGCGACATCGAGCTTGTAACCAGTAATGGAAGTGAAAGCGTGCATTCAGCTATCGCTGCAGCCCACTGCAAAAGGATAGCAAAGGTGTGTTAACCTCAAAAACTGCAAATGTAAAATTTTTTTGCGGTATACTCAAAAATAGAAGTGGTTAAAATGAGGTAATAGCTTTGTTCAGTTTTAAAAGCAAAGCGAAGGCTTGGAAGTGTGTTTTCTAAAACCTTGGTCAGCACGAGCTATACCTTTTATAAAGACAGGCTGATGAATTTATGGATTTTTCATCCACTAGTACGGTGAAGTTGATGCACTGTTAGTCAAAATCATTCGAAATCCTCATACTCGCGACTCCTTATTTCCTTACCTACATTAGCAGACTTCATGTATTATGTGATTGCCAGCAGTTTCGTGCGGTTCGTTGCCTAGTGTCTAGTATTCATCAGATACTAAATTGTTAAGGAGTCAAGGTGCGTCGAACCACATTTGCTTCGCAACATTTGCAGAATTCATAGAGACCAAAATATCTCTTTACAAATGACTACTATAGATGTCACGATGTTGTGCAAATGTTAACCAGTACATTTCCCGCACTATGAAAGATCGAAGGTGTGGAAACAACCGATTTTTCGCCCTATCAGGTAGTAACCCTATCAGCTTTGCAAATTGTGCGTGACACAAAAGAATAAGACTTCTCTTTTTATTTTAAACCACATGAGTCGACATCATCTCTACTGTACGGATTCCAGCATTTCTTGCGTCCGATTCGTTTTCTTAGCATTCATAGTCCACAAAGTTCTTCGAACGCTTGGCGTGCTGCTTCTGCAGCTGCTCGAGGGTTTCGCCTCCTTTATGAATGTCGTAGAATGCTGATCGAGTTGATTCTCCACGGAGTCCTGGGCATAACCGAGTTAGTGCGTTCACGCGTCGACTCGACGATAGCACTGGAAAGGGGTCGAAGGAGCACCTTGCTTAACTTAACGGACTGCATCACTGACCATTGCGCTGCCTGCCCCCCTCCCTACAAGAGAAACATTAGCGTGGATAAAATGCGTGTAAGCTGAAAGTGTTGGCAAATATGGAACATACACTACTATTTATTACATGTAGTATCACAGCACAGCAAAACTTAAGCAGATTTGTGGAATTTCCTCTGAATGTATATATAAAGGGTTAATTATCCGAGTTCCTCAAACCAGGTCTGCTAACACACTGATTCTGCGTGGTAGCACACAACGGAGTCAGTGCTTCCATTTCCTATTTTTTGTGCTAAACAGCTACGATAGGTAGTATACGATTGGATCAATAAAGTTATCACCCAAGTCACTATCACTAAAGTTGTACTGTGTTTTTATGGAAGTAAATGTATGCTGTTTAAAAACCTCGCGATTGCTGAACATGAAAACGACACATTCAAAGTTATCACTCATTTGTACTCCAAGACAATTTTGCTTCAATAATGGAATAAAGTACCTGAATAAATTCAAAATTGAACAATTAATTTGTCTGCAAGAAAAGGCTTCCTATGCCTACAGCTAAAGCATCTAGCCGACATTTTGTAAAAATATTTCCTAAGCAACTAAATTACAGTGATGGAAACCTCTATAACTGACTTCTGTAGCTGATTCCAGCGATTTCAGTTACTACGGTCGCATAATACACCACTTCGCATCGATATGAGAGCATTTCAACCAGGATTAGTCTCAGGCGTGGTTGAGTGGATGTACAGTGGCAAGGTTCGCGAAAGATTTTCAACCACTTAAACAAGAGCAGGATATGTGTGGAATAACCTGGTAATAATCTAGATTGAAATGATCTGGGAGCATATGACGGAATGTATGGCTGTGACAAACTATCTTGGAGTGGTTTTCCTTCATCATAAACTTGAAAACACTTTGAAAGCAATGACGAGTGAGCCGACAACACGCATCGAAGCGGTGAACGTGGCCTCCCATCCGACAACAGGAGTACGCAGTCCACAAACATGAGATCACAACTGAAGTATTTTTTTACAATGTGGTTTAGGTTTCACTAGAGACAGCATCACAAATACTGCAAACGATTCACGAAAGATACGCACCACTGTCGATGGAGGAAATTATGGTGAATTGGGCTGCCATATGGTAGAGCGCTTCTGGTGCTACTTTCTTATGCTGTTAATTGTTTAGCTTCTCAAACCTTGGACAATAAAAACATTTGCTGCGATATCAGTGAGGACACCGACAAAAATATCGCTAATAAACATTTTACTTAACTGGTGAGGCATATAGGTTTGTCAAGTAAATGTCAAGGAATCCTGTCGATTGTCTTAGAGAAACCTTTTATCGTCGTCAATGCAGAATATTATAAAGAGGAGCGCTCTGATAGGTTTGAATCAATCTACACGTGATTTCCAGCAAGTTAAGATAAAGTTATAATCACTGTGTACCTCTGATTTAGATCCATTTGATCCTATATATAATTTCGATCAGGTTACGTGTTCCACAAAACATAGTTTGGATCGATGCTATTATTAACAACATCTTCATAGAAGACATGAATTCGCAAGAACTTCTTGCCTTCCAAAGGACGCTTAGAGCAGTAAGTGTTATTTCCATTGAAATTGTTGTATCTGAAGAACATAGCATAAAATAAAGCAGCCACAGGTACTACTAAATCCCTCGACTCGACGTCTCGTCACAGCATCGCTCGTGCATGGTAGAACTATAGCTATTAACATGGACAGTGTTGACTGCCGTCGCCCTGCAGAATTAACTACACATGGGTACGTTTTGGCTGCATTTCACCTCTTGCAATCCATTGCAGTTCACGACGGCCCTAAGAGTGTGGTAGTGATGTAAAAAAATTGTTGTGGCCTACAAAAAACGATAGCGGTTGGAAATATTTTCGAAAAAAGAGATATCGAAAGTGCGCGATAGGCAAGATTTCTTGTTTGCTGCTTTGAGGTCTCGAAATATGGTAAACGATGAAAGGATGAAGCTCTAGGCGTTGATCAATCTCTGGGATGCACCATGTATTCGACTTCATCAAGCATCGTTGGAGGTGATTGACTGCATACCTGGCCTTTACGATGACTCGCAGCGGCCTATCGATGCATTGAGCCAATTCTACTATCCTATCGAACAGGTCTGCTACCAATTTGCCGACCCTGGATTGATGGGCCATGAGTGCGGGGATCGACTTCACATGTGTGTAGTACGGCGCTTCTGAGCACGGCGCTCGACCACTGCGCTACACGCGCCATACAAAATAGGAACAGGTTCAAATTCTATCGTGGTGTAAAAATTTTACCAGAAATTATGCAACTGTGACGCTACTAGAAGAAACCTAAAGCAGCAATGTGAAGTTTCTAGGTTGTGAGAACAAAGCAGTAAAAATGTGCTAAAAATGCGAGAAAGACATAGGTTGTTGACTTCATAACTCTGGGCAACACATAAGCAAGTCCAGTTAAGCCAAAGTTCCTTAGACAAAAAAAGATTTTGAAAAGATTTTACTATCTTCTGTAAAGCTGTTCAGAGCAAGAGGCAAAGGCGATATTTCAGAACAGTGCCGAGGAGTCCAACGATTCAAAAAGAAAACCTTTTTCAACCATTGTTGAGGCAGCAACTAAATCATGAACGGTCTCCTTGTAATGTTAGTATTTTAGCAAATACACTAAGTGTAATGCACTTTGTTAGAAGTCATTTCAGCTGTCAGAGCTGCCGTCGTACACTAACGTTGCATCAACTATGTCAAGTAAAAGCGAGAACTGTGATTCTGAGGACTCATTGGACTACTGCAGCGATAGGTGAGTCTACTTCTTCGAATTTAAAAACCGAGTAAGATTTATAGCACATTAAGAATATCACATAGCAATTCAGAAACCAAGGAAGTTTGTCCGAAAAAGACGAGAGTCAGGTTGAAGAGACTAGGAGATTGCCACCGGCTAAAGAGGTTTTCAGGTATTTTTACAAACTTTCCAATGGCATATTTGCAGTACAAAATAGTGCTAAAAAGCGCTAAGGAGGAATCTCTTATTATTACAGAAGATCTTTTTATTACCCACGGATTTTTTTGGCTGCCAGACGACGCGTACTTTTCGTTGTGCATGGTTTGCATAGAACTAAGCGAGATTCTCCTAAAGCCTCCCAAAGAGAGACATCTTATTAGCTTTCCTGACAGCAAAAACCTCTGTGGTAACTCCTTTGTACAACAAGAAGCAAATCATCGCAAACAAAAGATTTGTCCTTGTAATCTTTTTTGCAAATCTTAATGCGCACTATGGGGAAAGCATTGCCAACGTAGTACAAAAACAAAACAAAACAAGTAAACTGTATTGGCGAGGGCGAGTAAACTGCATTGCAATAATGGTGAGGTTTCCACCACGTGCAGGTTTTTGCAAGCGTGTTAATAACACACAAGTAGTCAAGCGGAAACATACAGTGGCCCTTCTAGAATTAACTCCCACGACCGACTTTCTATTAACCTCGGCATTGATCAAATAATTCTTCGTATTCTTGTTGAGCAAACGCGAGGTGTTATTTTATTTTTTATTTACGAACAAGCTGACTTTTCGACGGATTTCGCCTTCCTCAGAGCCTGGAAAGGTCAAGTTGACAGTAACCTATTCGGGTAAACACCTCCATAACCAAACAGAGAAAACGCTGAACAAAGATTTCAATTAAATTGAACACAGCTTTGCACACTCACCGTTTTCTATGAGGCCTCCACTGAGTATGTCGTGTGAAGACCGACCGCACAGAATTCACATGGAAGCGTAATGTGCCCCTCCCATCAGAATAACAGGTTTATATACTGTTTAATATCACGCTTGATAATGAGGCATTCCTCCCTGCGGTTCATTTTCGGATTCTTGGAATTAATTCAGAATGCCTATAGTTTTGCGCTATTGTGTTCTCGATTCCTGTGCGAGGATGGTGACTCGTACTTCAAAGTTCTCCCCGTTATATCTCTGGGTCCTGTGCATGACTAGTAAGGTGTTTGGTTTACGTTTGCTGGCTAGGTGTTTTTTCTACACTGACACAGAGTGGTCTGCTCGTTTCGCCAATGTATTCGTCTCCGCAATCCTTACCAGAGATCAGGTAAACTATACCCGAGCTTCTATAAGTAATCTGGAATGTGGAACTTTCTGCTTAGCTGTAAGAATAAAGTTGGTCAAACTCTAAGTATAGGTTTTCTGTTTTACTAATTTTTAGAGCTTAGTTTATTCCATCCGTCCCAACGGTTTACCTCCTCATCGCGGCTGGGAGGTGTTTCTGGGTGTCGGACTGCGATGTAAAGCAGGAGGATTCGTTCCCCCTGCAGGGCATCTTAAGCTAAGGAGTCCGGCGTTTCCATCAGGAAGCCTAGCTAAGAGTAAACCAATACCAAGATCGGCCACCGTCCTGGTATCGAAGTCGCATAGTGGAAAATCTCCCTCTGATCCACAAGGGCTGCGACTGCCCGTGGTGGTGAAGACCTGGGGCAGACTTTGGATAGGTTGACCTAGGAATTCCAGTGAAGCACAATGGCTTAACCAGCGAATCTCCGATAAACGGCGATTGTGTTGTGGCCCGCAAAGCTAGTGAGGACGCGCCGTTCAGGTGTCAAGTGTCAAGTTCATCCGATCCAGTGGTCCGAGCGCCTTGCAACGCACACGTGGAATCGATCTTCGCGCCCATGGTTCACCATGCCTCCGAGGTCGGCAACCTGGTTCCAGGCTTGTCTGGGAGGACAGATAGCAGCACTGGCTGGATACATCGGTAAGCAACCGCGCGTCATTGCAAAGGCTAGTTGTGCATTCTGTTACCTACAAACGATTCTCAATGAAGTTGAATGCATGGCGCATCCCTAAGGGAATGATCAACGCCGAGAGCTTTATCCTTTTATCCTTTTATTAGTTTATTCCATGGCATTCCATGACTAGGGAACCACTAATACATAATAGTTCTCATCACAAAATGATTTCTGGCCACTTTACGAAACACATCTTTTGTCGACCGTAACCTATTTTTAAAGTTTTCATGGCAATGCAATGGTGTTTAGCGAGTAAGGCCAAATATATATATATATATATATATATATATATATATGCAATAGATGAATTGATATACAGGCACAGTATTTAGAAAAGAAAAAACTGCCTTGCTACGGGAGTACCACAGAAAGACGATGTTGGTTATGAGGCACGTAGAGTACCAGTTATGAAAAGGGTACTGGAATAGGCAGCGTTCCGCCGCAGTTCCACTGCGAACAATTGCCTTTTGTACTGACAGAGAAGCACAAACATTCTTGCAAGTGCAAAACGAATTTGACTTGCACGTGGCATCCAGATTGGCCCATTTTAGCCGATATCAATTCAAGCCGAATGTGTCAGAAAAATTAGGGCCGAATAGATGTGGAAGTCTGTCGGAAATAAACGTCAAGGGTAAAAGAACCTGTGTACTTTTACGAGCTACGATTGCTTGGGTTTAGAATCAGTTGCTAGAGCTAATCCGTGCATTCAGCGTGCAACTACCATTGTCAATTTTGGTAGGCCGATTTGCAGAAAAACAGCTGCACTCTTATACACCGAGAAGCTTCACTCAGATTTTGTAGAATATGGAAAGACTTGAAATAATCCGCGTGTAAAATGCCTGGGCATACGGCGACTGGTGAAATAGAATAGCATCACAGTGGTTTCTATTACTCGGACTGCTGAGATTTTCTCCAGTCTACGTGGGAGCGTCATATCACGACTATCCAAGCATTCCAGAAGGAACTGACTCGACCAGCATACAGCGAAATTCATTAGGAAGGCGAAACCCTCGCGAGCCATACGAACGGGAACGTAAAAAGTTCGATAGCCTTCGGAGGTGATGGTGCTAGGAGTGAATCGAGTGCAATAAGCACTGGAATCGATAAAATATGTGATTTTGGGTCACAAAGAAATGTGACAGTTATTTCAGAAATGATCCTTCTCCTTCCGATGGTACAAATGCAACCCACAGGTGCAACTCTAGCTACTCCTCACCAAGCAGTATTAATAACAACACAGCGTATTTCTCCTTGTCAGTATTTTATAATTTTTTATAATTAAATAAGCAACATAGCACTAAAATTGCCTCTTCATCAATTTCAGGTCTCAAACTAACCGTGAACGTAGGCTGCAGTATACACAAAGCGAAATTGAAGAACTTCAAAATTACCCTAGTGTCACGTTCACTGAAAAGTTAGCTTAACAACAACTTTTAAAACTCCTTACACAAAAATTATGGTTTTATTTCATACTTTAGCTCAGTGATATTCGATTTATACAGTTGATCCGTTTACAGATCCATGAAAACCTTTCTTTCCAAACATGCCTAGAGTTCTATATTGTGTTCGCTGCACGTAGTTTCTAGTGTTTTTCACCTATGCTCATCTCACTTACTTCGATACTTGGATGGCCCATCTTCGCTGGATCTGCTGAGCCCAACATAATTTCTTTCCTTCGGAGTTTCGCTGGTCTAGCCATTGTGATCACCCGAAGTTCTGAGGTCACTCTGGCCAAAGCCTGCCCCAGGTCGTCTTCACCACAAGCAATTGCATCCTTTGTGGATCAGAGGGAAATTTGCTTCCATGCGTTTTAGTTTAGTACCGTTTAATGTGCGTTGCGTCTAATCTAATTTAATGCTAAGACGGTGATGGATCCTGGTATTGGTTTTCTCAGCCCATTTCTCTTAGCAGTAAATTTGTTAAATATTGCGGTGAACTTCAATATTTCGGAAGAAAATAAAGGCTGGTGCATAGATACCATGCCACGATGCGTGGAGCTCGTCGACGTGCTTTCCGCGGAGAATCTTCGGTGTGGGAACACGGCAGTCTGCTGCGCACTCCACAAATTCTTCTGCGATTGAAATATCAGACTCACTGAGAATAATCAAGTGCATAAAAGCTTAAAATTCTTTCTGCGAAGACAATAGTACTGTTTTACTCTGCAATGCATATACTTAAACATTTCGGAAAGGGCTTAGGTAAAAGTTGAGTATTCTCTACCAAAATACACAAGTTATTCATTTGGAAGAGCTTCACGCTATCGATATGATATTTTTAGCAAGTAAGCAGTTAGTAATCTGGCACCATAAAATCCACTTTTATTTTCCGTCTACGATTTCAGACAACAAGTCTTTGATGGCGGAAACGTAGCTTCAAGTGGAAACGGTGAAAGTGGTAAACCAAGTCAAACTGCAGAGGTGATGCGAAGTTCATAATCAAGATCTTTCATTATTTTGAAAATAAGTTAATCCTATTATTTAGGTCAAGGAAAAAGCAGACGGGTAGGTTTTTTTGAAGGATTTACTCTAAAATGAAGAGGCAAGAAGCGCATAAGATAATATTGCAACGTACGATTTTCCCGTGAGATTTTACAGAATTTCTGTGTAGGTCTCCTTAGACTTGTGTGTGTTTTTTCACATTTGCTAAAAAGTTTTTTCAATCGAATAATTATTTTTCCGCTTATTTTCTTAGCTCTTCAAAACTAAGCCCAAAAAACGCGATAAATACGAGCACAAATAGAAACTTGTGGTTATCGCAGTTTTCGGAAATATGACCAAAAATGTTTAAACGATTTATTGGTCAAAGTGTCCACAGCAGCTAAAATCCTAGAAGCAATTTTTCAAAAAAGAGGTAGCGAAAGAGCTTTTGTAAATTTTTTTTAGTAGGGAAGAAATCCTTTTGCCTTCTGCAGCACCTACTACAACGGTATCGTCTGAAAACGGACGTCAGTTTAAAAACACCACTCCTCATTTCATTAATTTTTATGTTCAAATAATACATTTTTTGATATAAGAGACCATTTCACACAAATTTTTAGCTAAATACGTCATGTCACATTACGCATTTTGAGTGTGGTTTCGCAACATAGGACAGTCAATTCTGAGGGCGACGACGTCATTTCGTTCACTTTAGAAATCGCAACACAATCATCTTCATTGTTATTCTGATGAGCGAAAATAAAGCGAAATGCTTTGCTGGTAGAAATCATGTGTTTTAAGATGAAAATCACGTTACGGATGTTTTCTTCGTTTTTTTCCTCTCAGCGGTTAAGCACCTCGTCGTGTCTGCGAGATGTTCCTTGGTGTCAGGCTACGACGTACAGCGGGGGATTCATCAACCCGGCAGCGTCTCTCAAGCTGAGAAAGAGTCCGGCGCTTCCACGAGGAGGCCCAGCTAGGAGTAAACCGATATTAGGATCCACTACCATCCTTGTACCGAACTAGTCGCATGGTGGAAAAGCTCCTTCTAATCCACAATGGCGCCGACTGCCTGTGCCGGTGTTAAGGCGGAGGAGACTTTGGCCCGGCTGATCTCGGGACTCCAAGAAACCACGTTGGTTAACCCAGTAAAACTCCGAAAAATGGAGATTATCCTGGGCTCCGCACAAGCACTGAGGATGGGCCATCCAAGTATCTTCGTTTTCTATATTAGTATTTGTCTTGAAAATGAAAGTGCTTCATGTACTTTCTGTCTAAAACCTCTTTGAGACTAACAAATATAACTGAAAGAGAATACATACATTTCGAAACCGATCTGTAATTATAACAAAAAATCGCCTATCACCCGTCACCTGTGGTCTCGTTGGTCGTCAAGTGACTGGAGCGGACCTCAACAAATCTGCTATTTTTCCCTGACGAATGAGAGAATACCTCAGTGGGTTTCGCTCGCTCTATAATTCGTTGAGCTTCATAACTTCCTTCTTGGATTTTTCTGAAAAAACTCTGACCATCGAGTCCGTGGCCTTCCAGCAGTACGTTTGACATCGCAAGAATGCAGTCGGTAACCACTCTTGTACATTAGTTGTCCTTAACACGCATTACGTGTTCAGCCCACCTTATGTGTAGCGCTTCTGGAATTGTAAGTTACCATAGGTGGTCTTGGTAGTTGTTATAAACTCAGACAGCCGCCCACCCTGTCCGTTCCATTCCAATTGGTGGTATCCAATGTGACGTTCTTGAGACGTTCTTCTGGGTCAAATTATATCTTTAAGTTCTCCAATAATTATCACCTTAGAAAATGTGTGCTCTTCTTAGTACAACTTCTCTAAGTTCACATAATAGAACGATACAAGTTCTTCTTCGTTATGGCTTGATGTCGGCGCAGAAGCGACGAAGATTGTCAAAGACGGTGTGGATCCACATTTTTTAATCGTAAACGTCCGATTTGGGATGTAAGCTGTTCGAATAAATCGATGTTCATCGACAAATTCGTGTTGACGAAAACGCCGACGCCGCCGACTCCTCAACTGTCGCATGTTTCGAGGAACACTTCTTTTCCCGTGTCATAGACAGCATTGAAAAGATGGCGTCGTACCTTATCCTTCATGCTTGCATGATCAAGTCTTCTGCAGAGTACTTAGATAAAAGCTAACGAACACTATAGGTACAGACTGCAATCATAGGCTATTGCCATTTAGGCAGCCAGCCTTGAGATTTTTGCAGCCTCTCCATACTCGTCCTACCTAACGCTGCAGAAACAGAGGCTTTCGGAGTTAGGGAAACGACGGCTGTTTATTTTCCTGTGTTTAGCCTTCCACGCATACCTTGTCGAACTCTGATCGTGAGGGGTGAGTTTGTCCACGGGTTGCTTACCAGTTTCTTCTAGCGTAGACGAGCAGATTATTTGTTGGAGGCGACTCCTAACCGCTTCCCGTATAGTTCTTCGTTATTTGGTTGCAGGATTTTGGCCGAATTGTCTCGTCGAATATAATCCGCATAAATGAAAACACACACACGCAAGCAGAAATACGCCGTCGTAAACACAGAAGCTACGTGCAAAGTCTGCGCAGCAGAAAGAGAGAGACCACCCCGTGGATCCACCTGTATGTCAAGGAAGAAAAAGTCGCTTTTAGTCTGCGGTTAACCCTCTATCCGCCACCTGGGGACGCGCCACGGTGCTGCGCGGCTAACGTTCAAAAGACCTCTCTATGAGGAAAAATCGTGGATAACAGAAAAATTGCTGATAAAATATGTATATATACAGCCACAATGATGTTGAGATATTTGGAAGACTCTTGACCGCAGGTGTCTGCGGTGGGGAGCGAACGCGTTATTACCCTTTCCGGGGGCTTACGCGTTCACCACCATACCATGCAGGTCCCCCGTTTCACCTGTCTCTCAGCTGGTTCTATCGATTAGCGCCATCAGCAATCACTCGTCAAAGGGATTGATCCATGGAGCCGAAATCGTCAAGGAACCCCGTTAAGCCGAGTCTGTTGTCGAAATCTCAGTCTTAACTTTTTACTTACTGCCTGTTATAATTTTTTACAGCAGAGTATTACATGTGGTACAACCACTATGATGCTGAAATATTTACAAAACTCTGAACAGCAGGTGTCTGCGGTGTGGAACTGACGCGCTATTACCCTTTCCCGGGGGCTAGCGCCTTCACCACAGCTGCACTTCTAGGTAGAAAGGTCGAGCATCTTCTCAGACTGCTAACGTTTGAAGCCATGCTCTATATCGCAGCTCAACATACAGGAAGACCTGGAACACTTCCCATTCTAGATGAAACCTCAAACCATTGGAAGGAGAAATATGTATACTAAAATAAACCTTGTTTTTCTCTACCAGGTATTCTAATTCTTCATAAGATACATGGATAAAGCTCATGGCATTAAGTTAGCTATCACCTTCCTTCCCTCATTCGAATAAAGACCTTTGGTATTAGGTTGGATAGAATGTAGTATTTCAACGCACATCTTTAAAGCGTCATAGCTCAGATTAAAACAAAGTTTATTAAACTAAATGAAAATTTCGCTCAATTCCCTGCCGTAAAAATTATAGAAGGCAGGAAATGAAAAGTAAACATTGTGATTTCAACAACAGCCTGAGCTTAACTTGGTTCAATGCCGATGTGGGTTCTCCAGATCAATCCTGTTGATGGGTGATTGCTGAGAGCACTGATCGATAGACTAGCTGAGAGACAGGCGAAACGAATGACCCTCATGGTTCGGTGGTGAACGCATTACTCACTGGAAAGGACGATAGCTCGTTCGTTCCCCACTGCAAACACCTGCGGTCCGGAGTTTTGCAAATATCTCAGCAATCTTGTGGTTGTATTGTGCTTAACACCCTGCCATCAAAATTAGAGAAGGCTGAAAATAAAAAGTAAATATAAATGAAAATTGTTGGAAACAACACATTTTGTGAGCGGGAAAGAAATTTTTATTCCGGTTGGATAAAACTGTGAAATTGAAAGATGACGAAGTCCTTGAATGCATTGTCAGTCCCAGTTTGCTTTCTGAACTATTTCTCGTACAGGAAGTTATCGAGGTGCTCCTAAAAATGGTGCTCGTTTTGCAACAGGTCAGTCGAGCATGGTGGATGAGGAAGAGTTTCGTAGTCCAGCTCGTTTAACAACTGAATTTACGTCATGGTCGTAATCGTTTCACTCGGTTTTAGAAAGCTGTAGGGAATTAAATCAGCACCCAGCCAGGAAAGACATGGCATTGTTTTAGGGTAATTACGTTTTTTTGAATTGCTATTAAGCTTCGTGGCACTTCAACCACTTAGCCGTTCGTCGCTGCTTTTCATAGATCTGTTTCTTTTCGAACATCATAAAACAGTTGAATCATTTCGGTAGCGCAGAAGAAGCGCTGGAGATAAATAAGAGCCGCGACCGACTTTCTATTAACCTCGGCATTGATCAAGTGATTTTCTTCGTATTTTTGTTGAGCAAACGCGAGGTGTTATTATTCTTTGTTCACGATTAAGCTGACGTTTCGGCGGATTTCGCCTTTCTCAGAGCCCGCCCACTATTCTCGTCCAGAGGTGCTCAACAAAAATACGAGAAAAATCATTTAATCAATGCCGAGGTCAATAGAAAGTCGGTCGTGGCAGTTACTGCAAGGTGTACCAGCAAGATACTTCCGACTTGTAAAAGAAGCGCTGTCACTGAGACAAAAGATCGTCTTAGCTCGACAGTCAATACACTTTCTCCGCCGCTGTCTAAAACATCAAGTCATTCCGAACGTCATCAAACGAAGACGACTACACGACGTATGCGGTCTACCAGAGGACAGTTACCGAGTATTGGACGTCGAATTGCGAATACTACGCACTTGTCTACGAAGCCGACAAAACCAGATGTTCGCCAAGTGGAAGAAGTGCGAGACGAAGGAAAACTTTTGTGCTCAATATTTGGAGGTCTACCTCTGGAGGAGAATAGTGGGCGGGCTCTGAGGAAGGCGAAATCCACCGAAACGTCAGCTTAATCGTGAACAAAGAATAATAACACCTCGCGTTTGCTCAACAAAAATACGAAGAAAATAAATAAGAGCGATG